AACAGTTAAAATGTAAAGGCCTGACAACTCCAATACCAGTTGTAGGCCACTCCAAGCTCACCTTTGCCTGCTGTTTTTTTCCCTATTGCATTTATCACCTTCTTACATACATGAACAAAAATATTGACTCCTAGGGAGCATGGGACTCAACTAGGTTAAGGAAAAGTGAATTACCAACTATACTTTAATTTTTTAAAGGTTAAAAAAAAATGTGAATTATGGGATTTTCGGGAGCTACAGAAAAACATCTGTTCTTTCATGTAAGGTTGCTAAATTGGAGCGCTGTTGGCCATTTGGGTGTTGTCTCATACAGAGGAAAGCACGGCTAAGAGATGGAGTCATATTCTTAAAGATACTATTTGAGCACCTGCATCTGATTTAGCTGCAGCTGAAGGCACATTCTCAGTACTTTGAATTAGGTAAGCCCATCAATTTCCTTCATTGCTTTAATCAGTTTGAGTTGTGTTTCTATACTCAACACAAAGGAGATTCGTCACTATTACACTGTGGACAAAACAAAATGGTAGACTGAAAAACAGTGCATTAATCATTCAAAATTATGTTTATAAATTATTTATGCCAATGGCACCAGCTTATGATACGGTACATGAAAAACGCGGGACACAGAAATGTTTATACAGTACACTGACTTTTGGGAAAACTTCATATTAAAAAGCCACTTGAGTAAAAATTCAAAAACATTAAGAAACTGTCTTTAGAAAACGATTTTCCCTCTTCTTTTTGCATTTCTGCATTTTCCAAAGTTTACTTAATGACTATACTATACTTTACACTTTTTATTGATATATAATTCACATACCATAAAATTCACCCTTTTAAACTGTACAATTTAGTGATTTTTAGTATATTCACAAAATTGTGTAACCATTATTACTATCATGGCAGAACATTTTCATCACTCCCAACAAGAAACCCATGCCATCAGCAGTCAATTCCTATTCTCCCTACCCCCAAACCCTGGCAACCACTAATCTACTTTCTATTTCTCTGGATTTGTCTATTCTGAACATTTCAAATGGAATCATAAAGGATGTGAACTTGGCATCTTTCACTTAGCATAATGTTCTCAAGGGTCATCCATGTTGTAACATGGATCAGTAACTTCACTCCTGTTTCTGGCTGAATAATATTCCATTGTATGGATACATCATACTTGTTTACTCATTCAACCACTGATAGACATTTGGGTTGTTTCCACCTTTTGGCTATTACTTAAAAAAAGTGCTATGAACATTCATGTACCAATTTTTGTGGGGATACACATCATCAATTCTCTTGGGTAAATATCTAGGAGTAGACAGCTGGTTGAGTGCATTACTTTTATAATTTAAAAAAAAAAAAACACGAGAATTGTTTCCTAGTGGAAAATGTTGAATGTTAGTGCCACCAAACTCAGGGTCGCACAAATTCCTTCTCCTGCCACAGAGGACAAGGTACTACTGTAAAAAAGATCACCATAGAAAAAGAACAAAGACCACTCACTGTGTGATAAAGTTACCGGTCTCTGCCAGGCATTTATGATAGATAGCAAGATTTACTCACATCAGGGTATCAATGTGGACACATTAATAAAATGAAGCTGTAAGCTGCCTAAAATTCCTGTACTTATAGACCAGGCCAAAAGAAAGACAATACTTCTGTTTACGTTCACATTTCTTTTCATGATCTCTTTTCACACTTTTCCAAACACCACTAGATTTTATCACTTGATTTATAACACCATTTCAAGAACTTAACCAGCATAACTTAGACATCTTAAAAATTACAGAACTAGGCAATCTGATCATTAAGATGGCCCCCCTTCTGCCTTCAGGAAAAATAGTTAAGCCATGGGGTAAGCAAACTACTTAAAAATCTTAACATCAGAATCAAACTCCTGGTAAATAGTCATCTTATTTTTTTGCCCATTGTCTTAAGGCCTTTGGATGGATTTCCCTGAATACCACACTACATTCGTTCCATAATCCATCTGGCCAAGAAAAAATCAAGTATTTATTTCACATGCAAACTATTTCACATGCAAACTATGCTGCAGCAGCATATTCTAATAAACCTGAAACTCTCTATTAAGTCCTTTGCATGTTACAAATTTCTTACTGCTCCAACTGCATTCCAGTATTATAGAAGTATCACTCTAATTGCTGTGTCACAGTTTATGGTGCAGAGAGTGAACTTTTGAGACATCTAGCTTCAAAGTTCATCTCAACCACTTATCAGCTGTGTGATCGTAGGCAAATTACTTAAACCTTCTGAATCTCAGTTTCCCAATAAAATATGTCCAAAAATACATATATTTTTGGAACTGCTATGAGAGAGAAAACCAACAGTTTGGCATAAAGCATGTACTTAGTGAATAGTGACTGGTGCTCCCACTCATCTTACTCTTTTTCTTTTTCCTTAACAGAGGCACAGCACCTCATGAACACCAAGCACATACCCTACCAATGAGCTATACTCCCAGTCCCCTCACTTTATTATTAATATTACAGTGGTTATACTATGGTTATCTTTAGATCAATGATGAAATATAGGGGGGAAATCTGCTGCTCTATAAGGCAAATATTGATCCTGCTCTTATTCCCACCCCAGTGTGAAAGCAAAGGGATTCCACCATAAGGCTTGATGCAGAAAAATATAAAATGTAAGCAGTTATATCACCTGTGCTAGAAATAAAAATGATCTAGTCATTTCTGTTCCTAATCCACACTTAGGATTCTTATTTCAAAATGAATATATCACCTTTGGTGTATCAACAGGAAAGAACCCATTTGAATAAAAGATTAAAATTGTTTTGTTTTACAGCATATTAAAGGGGAAAAGTCACTTATGGAGAGAATCATAAGCACTGAATCCACAGGGAGGGAAAAATAGAGGTAATCTGGCTTTTTGCATATTAAATACAAACAATTCAACACGTATGTTGTATTTGAATGCATCACTGCCAATCACTACTAAAATGAAAGTTCAGTGATTAATTAAATGCATTTGTTATTCGCTGACTTTGAGGAAAGAGGCCAAATGCGCAACTACTGAAATGAGGCAAGCAGTCACAAAACATCTCACCTCTGGGATTCTAAAATGGAAAAATTAGCATCTAGTCAAATTTCTAACAACATCTACATCATCATCCAGTGTCATATGATGCAAGTGATCATTCTGACACACTGTTATTTCTTAATTCAACAAAAAACATTTTGTTCCATGTACTAGAGTCTTATTACCAAGATGAGAATTGAACTCCAAGGAAAGGCGCCATTCACCCCATAGTCTCCGAAATGCAAAACCCAATTTAAAGAGACAAAAATCTAAAATATACAGGGATAATGCATCCACAGATTCACACATTAAATCAGAGGCGTGTGGACACATTTTTCTAAAAAGACATCAATGCTGGTCCTTTCATCGGTCAAGCAAAGCCAAATTCTAAATGACTGTCAGTCCCTGGTAATTACCAGCCTGTGATCCTGCGCTGGACTGACATTCCTCTGCCTCCTGACACCAGCTCCACTGCCCCCTTATACTTTTCCACACATCCAAACCCACGCATTTACCACTTCGTGCTTTTAACTTCTGATACAAAGGATAATAATGAGTAAATGAAAACACAGTTGAAAAGAGAAAAATCAAAATCAAAACATTTCAAAATAAGAGGAAAATACGATTTTTACTGGACCCTTGTGAATCAACCACAATTCATGGGAAAACATCAACTACTTACAACACGTGACAACTTTCTGTAGGTACACAAATTCTCTGCTGTACATGCATATACATGCATATGTGTATTTATGTATCTATACCCTCCTTCTCTGGGTATTTCAGACAAGTGCCTGGCTCTGGAGAAAACCCAATTCAAAACCAGTCTACCCAATTACTTTCCTGCCTCTTGTATGGACTATTATATCATTATAACAATTAAGCAGCGTTCCATTGAACACGCCTTAGGTTGAAACCTTTAGTAAACAGCATGAATAATAATTAGGGGATAACAGTGATATAATCAAAGGAGAGGAAGACAATAGTATTTTCTTTTAATAACAAACAGAAGAATGGAATTTAAGCCATTAATTTTATTCTCTGAAACTCATCAAGCCCTGAAAATTGTTTTATGAAAATAGACACATCTTAATATGGAATGAAAAAGAAAAAAAACTCTTAGGAGCTGTCACGTTACATAGAGAATGTGACAGGGTAAAGAAACAAGAAAAGGCAACTTTCACATGCACCTAAAAAGCCGCCAGGGGAGAATCTCTATGAAAACACATCACTGTGCCTGATTATCATACCTGCACATGCTGTTCTGCCGTGCTGCATGTGAATGAAAAATACAAAACAAAAACAGGGAAATATTAGCAGAATAAAACATAAAACTATTGCATGGAGAATTTAAAAATCAGTTCACAAGCTTTTATGTCTAGTATCTAACTCAGATTAGTAATTTAACATTTTAACTCAATTAACAAACCATGCATCTCTTAGTTATAAATGGATTACCCACAAGATGGGTTTCATGTGTTAAAATATTTTGTCCTTTTCAGATTTCAGAGCAAGCTGTGAGATCCTGTTACAAGAATCTTCTTCTTTTAAATCACTTGTTTAATTCACTTATTAGAGCAACACACAGACTAAGTAAGAAAGCAGTCGTGCCTTTTAGGTTCTGTCTCTCGGCTGCTGTTTTAAAAATAAAGATTTTAGTCATTATTTAGCATCAGGCAATAATAACCATTGTCAAAGTGAAGTACTACCTCAAATCTAGAATAATAAAACCAAGTCTGTAACATAGACATGGAATACACATTTTAACTGAACAATACAGGAAGCTTTCTGAGTTACTCGTGGTTCTTAGTTCTGAGGGGGAACTAAGGCTTCCATTTACAATTTCTCAATACATATATTGAAAAACACAATGACTGCTGACACGGCTTCACCAACATTCTGGTCCCACATGGCAAAAGGGCTAAGCCCAGCCCAGCACTTACTTCTCTTCTGAGACACGGCCTGCAGGCACGCCGTCACCACGTCGCAGTTCCTCTGCACTTTATGCAGAAGCCTATCTTTCTGCTTCAGCTGCCGAAGTAACCTGGCCGACTGAATGCCAATCCTGTACTTGAGCTCTCCAAGAATTGTCTTCAATTCATTGGTGTCTTTCAGTAAAGCAAAAGAAAAACAGAACAATAAATACCCTGAGAGGAATACAAATTCCAATGTGATGCCAATCACGAGATAAATATCTGCAACATCCATTTAAACCAAGTAATCCTGGAATCACACCCAGGATTACATGTACATATTTAGCCAAGAGATTCTGATGAAATCAGTTGCTCATCCGTTTCCTGTCCTGTCCAGGAGACAAGTACCGTAAGATAAATTTTATTCTTGAGGCTACCTATAACATGTAAGCAGAGATTCTTCTACGGTATCCAACTCTGGGTGCAAATTTACATTTCTTTGCCTTAAAATTGGCAGGTACATTCTGTATCATGAAAGTGCTCAAACAGCAAGCTTGCAAGAATATTTTTTAATCTGTTACATCAGTGATAAACCTAACAGCTGATAACAAATGTTTTTAAAAGCACTCACCTTTGTAAATGATTAGTTACAAGTAAATAACATTACCAAATTTTCTAATGTAGATAAATGCAGTCATTATGGTTTTGTTTTAAATACAATCTTGCAATAGCTTGACTATTGGGTACAACAGTTCATCTTCAAATATGGTAGAAAACATACTTCCTTCAAACAGATAAAAGATAATTCGCATCCATAAAACTAATATACTCAACAGCAGTTTTTCCATAAGTGACAAAATACGAGGGAATCAGAAGTGACCACCACATCCCCATGAATAATCATTACAGTTGGGAGATTTTGTTTGTCACATTTGACATTATCATCAGTCACCACAGTGTGACCTGCCAGGTAAGCAAGGCCTTCCACTCAGCTCATTAGAGGTTCTGTGTGGGGTTTGGATCTACTTATTTTGAAAGGGATTTGGAGAAACTAGGGAGGACCAGAAAAGAACAAAAGAAATGTTCAAAGTAAGGAAAGTGCTCGAGGTCAAAGGAAGTGAACTTTGGGGGTCTGTATAAGAGAAGAGCAAGGGGGTGTTTAAGCAGCTGTCATATTGATTGACCACGTTATGGAAAATGCATTTGACCTTGAGTTAAAAAGAACTGCCTTTGGATCAACCAACTATCTGCATGATTTTAGGCAAGGCAGGGCTCCAAGTCTCAGATTATTCAAGATTATTCTGAGAAACAAATGTGAACAGCCTTTAGAAACATTAATATAAAGAGCATGACAGTAAGAAGGAATTACTGTGAAGAGAACAAAGGCCAGTTACTTCTCTCACCTCGAGTTCAAATGTGGTGAGATACAATGAGAAGTAAGAGTTCACTTAGGTTAATTGAAAATACTTGGGTTCTAAGGATGATTAAATATGGAATCAAGCTACAAGAAGAAATCAAGAACAAACCAGAGACTCTTCAATCCTAGATTTCTTCAAATAGAGCAAATTTGAATGTTTTAAATTTTCCCTTCTAGAAACAAAAGGGGTAGATAGGAATATTATCTTGCATTTATACTTTTCTTCCACAAAAGAGTCATTTTCAGTGACTCTAAAGGCACCTACAGTGCTATGATTTCTGAATTATATGTACTGTCCAACACAAAAATCTTCAGAGTTGAATCTGAAAATGTCTTCTGTAGCAACATCTGAAAACAGAAATAAGGTCTCCTTTATCTCTGTATGTCCCGTAGCCTCAGCCACAGCTCCTAACACAGTGTTAAATAAACCAGGAAAAATGAGGAGATCCTCAGCTAACAAACTGAACTATTTCCTCTTTAAGGAATTCCAGTGTACATAACAATACAAATAATATCTAACATTTCCTGAGCACTTCACATACATTAACTTACATCATTCTCAATACAGCCCTCTGAAGTAGTATTATCCTTCTTAATTTTATTTTTTTAATTTAATTCTTGTTTTGGGTTTTTTTTGTGGGGGGGGGAGTAGTTAGGTTTACTTTTTTTTTTTTTAATTTATTTACTTTTAGAGGAGGTGCTGGCGGTTGAATCCAGGACCTTGATGTATGCTAAGCATGTGTCTACCACTTGAGCTATACCCTCTCCCCTTATTATCCCTATTTAGGTGAGAAAAATGAGACTCAGAAAGGTTAAAGAACTTGCCCAAGGACACATAACCAGTAAGGAACAGTGGCAGGATATGAACTCAAGCCTTCTAACTCCAGAGTTCACACCCTTAAAGTGAACACTAAGAAGAGAGCCTAGATTTCCTGAGAAACCATTTTGGTGCCTCACAGAACTAAAGGACCCACACATGCTAAATATCTATAAATAGGTGCTAAAGCAAAATCCCTAACAGGGGAGAGAGAATTAACACACAAGTTATCTACATTATATGAGATTCCTAACTATTATGTTAGAAGCGGTATTTTTTGAACTTGAAAAAAATCAAATAACCTAATATGTTGTAAAAATTATTTAAGACAGCTGTTTCCCAGTCTAAATGTCCATCAACAGATGACTGGATAAAGAAGATGTAGTATATTTATACAATGGAATACTATTCAACCATAAAAACCAACAACATAACGCCATTTGCAGCAACATGGATATTCCTGGAGAATGTCATTCTAAGTGAAGTAAGCCAGAAAAAGAAAAATACCATACGTGATCACTCATATGTGGAATCTTAAAAAAAAAAAAAAAAGAACATAAATACAAAACAGAAACAGACTCGTAGACATAGAATACAAACTTGTGGTTGCTGGGTCGGGGGTAGGGATAGACTGGGAATTCAAAATTTGTAGATACTGACAGGCATATGTAGAATAGAACAAGATTATACGGTATAGCACAGGGAAATATATACAAGATCTTGTGGTAGCCCACAGCGAAAAAAAAAAATGTGACAATGAATGTGTGTATGTTCATGTATAACTGAGAAACTGTGCTCTGCACTGGAATTTGACACAGCATTGTAAAATGACTATAACTCAATAAAAAAAAGTTTTAAAAAAGATAGAGGCAAAAAAATAAATAAAAATAAATAAAAGAAGACAGCTGTTTCCATCACCTAATTCTTTATTCTCAGTACTCTAATGATGCTTATCAATAAAAGGAGAGGGTGTGGGGGACTATCATAATATAGCGCCATGTTTATCCTAACCGGGTCAACTACAAGAAAAACCGAAATGAGCAGGCAGCTAACCATCCACTGAGACTAAAGCTTGGGCAAAACAGACTCCTATAGGTCTTATGAATGATTAATAGAGTGGTCACTTAGCTGAAATCTACTTCCAAAGCTGTACCATGACCACTTCCTTAAACTTTAGCTTGCCAAATTTTTCTTCCAAAAGGAAATGACTAATCCACAAAATTTCTCTCAGTAATGAAAAGTGAATAACCTTGTAAAGACAGAAAGCTGAATCATAATTCTCCAAAACTGATTTTGTTGGATTCTGAAGGAACTATTGCCCTGCAGAACTCCTGGCATACACAAACACACTGAGAACAGCCAGATAGTTGTATAAAATTAAATGGCACAACTCCAGCTAAAGTCTCAGGCAGGGGGAGGAAGGTGGAAGCCATTTATAACAATCAGCTGGGGGAAAAAAAACTTCACTAGGAAGCCGAAAGAGGAAGCTGTAGGCTGTTTACATAGATTTCAGAAAGCAGACAGATTTATTCCCTTTCTAGTTAGGTTGGGGGGGGTTGTTTGTTTGTTTGTTTTTAATCCCCTGGCACCAGCTAAACTGCTTTTACATACAGGAGATAGGAGACCACTCTACAGTACTCTCTTTCCTCCCTCTTCTGGTAATTTAGCACAAGGACATTAATTCAAGGAATGTTACTATGTCTTAGCATGTTTTCCACACCTCTGTTCATTTTGTAAATTGAACTCTTGATATAACTGTACAAAAAGACAACTGTAATAACCAAGTGCCTGGAAGGCAAGCTATTATAAACAGTTGAGAAAAAAACACCAATTAGGACAGAAGCATCAGAGTCTGATAACGAAAGAAACATCAAATTAGCTTCTCCCCGAAAGCCAAGGCCATTTTCGGATCAACGTCTCCAACAGAAGGTACTAGCAATTAAATTCTGTGATAACGTCAACGCTCTAGGGCCTTTCACTAATTCGCCACTCAGGGGGCAAAAAAATCCACCTAGTGAGCATCTTGAAACCAGACGTTCTGAGAAACAAATTTCACACGTTCTGCGTAGAAACTGAATTACTTTGCCTCACTAGTTAAACATTATCCAAGTAGTGTGGCCAAGGAAGGCGGATTGAAAAAAAAAACTAAACTAAAAAAACAAACAAACCAAAAAACAGCTCCGAGAGTCACTTTTTTTCTCTAAGAGTCCTCTAGGTAACCTCACGTAGACATCTCAGAAACTCCAAACCCGTCCTAACAGCTGTTCTGGTGAAAATTAGAATCTCGACTGCCTCTCCTCTTGGGCCTCCACAAACACAAGGAGGATGGGGGACGGGCATACTACCATTCCAACAACTGAAGCTTCACTCAACTCGAGACGGGATGGGGGGACAATAAGAACTAGGTCTAGTCGTGAATTCATGACCCTGTCGGCACCTGCGACAGATCAAAAGAGACGCTCGGAACTTAGTATCTGGGCGCTTGGCGGATCAGCATAGGTGCGCACAGGTGAGCGCGGGAGCGCGCGCAGACCCGGCAGGCGCGCGGCTCCGGGGAGCTCCCGGGACCCCCCTCCCCGGGCCCTCACCTTTCTGCCGCAGGTACTGCATCTGGTGCCGCTGGCTCGGCCGCTTCTGCAGCTCCTGCAGCTCCTGCAGCACGCGGGAGTCGCCGGCGCCGCCGCGGCCGCCCAGGTACACGTCGGAGCCTGAGGCCTCTGCGGAGCTGTCGAAGCTGTCGCAACGCCGCTCGCGGCCCCCAGGCCCGCGGCCCCCGCCGACCGCCTCCTCCTCCTCGGTGCAGCTGTACAGCTCGGTGAGCAGC